TATTGAAATCAGTATCATCAGAGATTTTTAAACATATATATTTTACTTCATCATTGCCTTACCTTTTCAAATAGCCATATGTCTCAATAGGCTTGTACAAAACCATTATTTTAACACTTTCCACTTTCATCTTTATCAAATCTGTACTAAAGTATCATTTTTGGCTATTTAAATAGAGTGCATGTGTATAATGATATAAAATCACTTGAAAGCAGTATAGAATTGAAATATTTTTAGAATTCTCTTGTAAAGGAGAAAGAAAATGGCAAACCAGAAATGCAGGGCTTTCCCACAAATAGTGCTGTTTCTAATAATTTTTAACTTAACTACTTTTACTGGTGAAAGAGAAAACAGTGTTCTGGAAGCTTCTTTTGAAGTTTTAGCAAGTATATATTCATATATTCAGTTTTTCTGATAGTGTGACTGCACAGTTTACATTGTTATTAGCGGTATAAATTTATCACAAAAGTGAATGGGCAGCCAATGTAAAACTTAAGCACTATTAATAAAATGAAATTATAAATGGAAAAAATAAGTTTAATGATACAAAACTGATATAATAACATAAGTATCTGGCTTCTACAGATGTTCTTGCTCTTATATTGTATGCTAACTGAGGCTTCCAGGTTATCTTTAAGGGCAAACCCTCACTGAATTTACAATTAGATTCAAATTCCATAATTCTAATATCTAATATCATAATTCTAATATCTTTTCCCCCCATTCATTTCCAGTGCTCAGTTTTCATAGTGTATTTTATAACATTTTTTAACTGTTCTAATCTTTGTTATCATACAAGTATTCATATTTCTCATAATCTTATAATTGTTTTTCTCCCTAGGTTTAATCTCTTATTTACTTCTTCAATATACAATCCATCTTAAGCAAAAGAAAACAAATTATCACTTTCAGTTGTTTGCTGTAAACTATAAGTTAACTAAGTTTGCTGATTGATTTTACTTTTGTATTCTTTAGTATTTAACATTAATTCAGATTTTGCACTTCCCATTTTAAATGGCAATTGGTATCATCTTCATGTCAAATTGTTAGTGTTTCAACCTATAATTTTTTATTGTAGCTGACATCTTACATAAACTCCCTATACATTTTAAGTAAATGTGGGAACAACATACTGCACATGCTTATCTTACTCCCTTTCCAGTTCTGAACCACACTGTTTCCCCAAACATAGCTCTTACAGTAGTTCCTTATTAATTCTAAAGGTTACTGAGAATAATCAGATATTCTGGCACACCCATTAGTCTTAATATAGTCCCCATTCTGACATGATCTCTGCATTCAAAGTCAATAAATCAAAGGCACACTTTAAATTCTCTTGTTCCCTTCATCAGATGTTAGTTCTGGTCTCTGCCTTAAACCTGCCTCTTCATTTAGCAAACATTTCTCAATATATGGCTGTATTTTTCTTTATAAGATCTTGAGGGGGGGGGAAACTTTGCCAAAAACCAGTGGGCTGGTTTTGTGGTTTGTAAATTATCTTGCATCTCTCTTTTATGGTATTGGCATGTACCCAATCTTTATCAATTCCTAGCCCACACAATCTTGCTCTATATTTGTTGACATATAGTTATCAGCACTCTCACAGACTCCACTCCTACAGTTTTAAATAGTGCAACAGTGCAACCTTGCCATTGCTAGACTTTCATAGTTGACAACTTCATTTTGTACCAGTCTTTGTACAGTAATATTTATATATTGAATGCAGTCTTTCCAACTTCCTTTAATTCCATTTGCCTTTATTAGATCTTTTCTACTTTTGAATGCAGTCTTTCCAACTTCCTTTAATTCCATTTGCCTTTATTAGATCTTTTCTACTTTTATTTATAAATGTTCCACTTTAGCAGTAATTTACTGTGATTTTTCTTATCTGAAAATGACCTGTGGGGTTTCTTTTTTGTGATTTTTATTGTTATTTTTCTCTATTAATTGCTGTTCTTGATTGAACTTTATTTCTTCATCCTTTCTTACCGGATGGCAGAAGTCTGTGTTCAGTTTTTATATATCCTTCTTGTTGCCGAAGGCTTCCATCCTTTATCTGTTTTTGGCTATCGCTGATACATTGTCTGAAAGCAACTTGGATTTTATTCTCTTTGAAATTTTGACAATATTTTTTCTTCTTTTATCCATTTCCATAGTTCCTTGGGTTCTCTCACATAAATTAAATATACTGAATCTATTCCTTAGATTGATTTTATATTCTAATTATATAGCCTCTAAGTCTCATTAATCTACTATGTTTAACCTATATTTTTAGTGCCAGCAGTTCATTGTCTGTTTTACAATCTGCATCTGGAAGAAACTCATCTGATTGGATGCTACCTTTACAACATCTGTTTTCTGTTCTATAGCCATTTTTTTCCTGATATTTTAAGTACAGCGAGGTCTACGTGTAGAATCTGAATTTACATAATTTGAAACAGTTGTTTGCAAGGACATTTTCTGTAAGATTCTCTTAATTTATCTCCTGCAATACAGCATTTAACCAGTCCAAATGAGATTTAGTAAATGACTTCTACCACTGCATCTGTAGTTAATATATATACCTATGCAACATTGATAGTCAGTGAATATGTGCAAATTTTAAAAGACACGATATTGTAAGTTACTTGGTTATAGCCAGTGGTGGGATTCAACTAATTTAACAACCGGATCTTTGCCCTAATGATTTCTTCCAACAACCAGTTCACCAAACTGCTGAGAAATTTAACAAGCGGTTCTCCCAAAGGGTACGAAATGGCTGAATCCCACCACTGGTTATAGCTAAGCCCTTCCATGGAGTCCAGACAAGGAATAAAAACCATCAGTTTCATGAGTCTTCCACAAACCACACTGCCCTTAATTTGAGGTTACAGTAATAAGTTTGAAATCACTTATCCCTTTATTTTTACTTTTCAGAAACCTAGGGAAGGTAGCTTCTCAGGCCCCTTTTGCTTCTGTGGCTGAAGTTACTGTTTACATGATAGTTGTCTATCATGTGGTCCTTTGCCCTGTCTCCCAAAGTCATTCCCACATACCATTATATCATTTATTTAGTTAGTTATTTAGCCATTTTTTTGAACATCCTTGTTATTCCATTCCTTCAAATGTTCTCATGCCCTGAAAATATCATGTAATTACCTGAGTTAAACTGACCCATCTTGGTCCATCTAACTTTACCTATCCCTGAAACATCTAACTTAATATGCTTTATTTCTGCTTTTAAAATGTTTTCCTTGGATCATTAATATTGTATTCCATACTTCAATTGTATGCACCTTTGTAAAATAAGAAATTCCTCTATCAATACTGGCCTCAACAGGGATCAGATTTTCTTATAACTTTGGTCTGGCAATATAATCATTTCCAAATCTACTTGTGAATGTAATAGTAACTAGAGGGACAGCTTTCACCCCATGGGTCCTTATTTTTGGGATTCAAACATGTCTAAATGATTTAACCATGTCCTTACAACATGCCTTAAGAACAACAGAGAAGCAATTTGTTTCTCAATATCAACTTCACTGTAGTTTATTGTTAGCTTCATTAAGTCATTTTGAACTGGCCAGCAAGAATAACGCTACTACCACATCAAAGTTGCCATCCCTTGGAATTCCACACTGATTGCATTACAAGTAATCAAACCTGAATATAAATGTGCCATTGATGCAAGATGTGTCTCTTTCAGGAAGAACAGGCACAATTGATTAAAAGCCTGGGTGCTAATATTACCCATGCTTACAATAAAGATATTAATGCTTAGAGTACTTTTAAACTGACCTTTTAGAGTGAACTCCACTTCTCTTAAATTATAAACCATATTCTACAATCAAAGATTTGCCATTCAATTTAGTCTGGATTAAATTTGTTTGTTTGCCCTCATCCACCTTGTGATTGCCCCTATATATAGTTCAGCAGTTCTTCTAAGTTCTTTAAATTATTAGCAGCTTTTGTGTAATACTTGAGTCTGTTTCATTTCACCCAATAGTTTTATGTAGATGCTTAACTGGGTAACAGATAAGATTGAAATATAGTGTTTTCTAAGGGCTAAAAAGTGAGTAAAGAAATATCTGGGTACCAATAGCCCCCAAATCCAGTCTCAGAAGCATCTATATTTGTCTCTGAAAGATGTAGGAGATATTTCTTCTCTCCCTATTGTAAGTTTTCAATGAAAATGTCCTTGGCAGTTTCTCTCTCAAAGCTTGCTGGAACCCTAGATTCCAGAATGGAATAGGTTCATCATTCCTCAAGATTGTACTGAAAAATACATCACGATCTCCGGAACGTTTAAAAGTTTAAAATTTTTTATTTTAAACGTTCCGGAGATCGTTATGTCTATCGCCTCTTATATATATGTATATGTATATGTATATATATGTATATATATACATATATATACATACACACACACACACACACATATATATATGTGTGTATAGTTAATATTTCGGGTTTCTTCCCGTGTAATTGTGGATATATCCCTAAAAGGGTAGAAGCGACGTTTCGACAGAATCCCTTTTAGGGATATATCCACAATTACATGGGAAGAAACCCAAAATATTAACTATACACACATACATACCCGTGAAAACTTACATATATATGCATATTAACTATACACACATACATACCCGTGAAAACTTACATATATATATGTGTGTGTGTGTGTGTGTGTGTGTGTGTGTGTGTGTGTGTGTCTTTTTCGTAGGCTTTTATGTGCATATTCTTTCTAGCCAGGTTTTACCTACGTAAGCTAAGATGTTCTACAGCTCTAGTTCTGTGAAATCTCATTCACAAGTTTCTGGGCTTTTTGTATCTTGCTGACAAACAGCAACTCTATGCTGCAGCACAATATATATATATATATTGATTTAATTTATATGCCGCCCTTCTCCGGAGATTCAGGGCGGCTTACAATGCGTTAAGCAATAGTCTTCATACTTTTGTATATTTATACAAAGTCAGCTTATTGCCCCCACAATCCGGGTCCTCATTTTACCTACCTTAGAAAGGATGGAAGGCTTAGTCAACCTTGAGCCTGGTGAAATTTGAACTTGCAGTAATTGCTGGCAGCTGATGTTAATAACAGTGCTTTAGTCTGCTGCGCCACCAGGGCCCTTTTTTAAGCATATCTATATGATAAAAATGTTCAATATTGTACTTCCTGGATATATGCATTTTTATAGGAAAGCAATAAAGATATGGGTAAAATTTAAAAAGTTGAAAAGAAAACAAAGTATTTTAATTTAAAGCTATGCCTTGTATTGATGCATGAACATTTGGCAATAAAGCAAATATGTTCAGCTGAGACAAAGTTTGCGTTCTAAGAATGGCAAGACACTGATCTAACAGGAGGCCTGTGATGCAATGTAACTTTGGGACTCCATGGAAAACAGATGCTTCTCCTAGATGACTAGTTTAATCAGAGCTGCTGACTTTATAGTGTTTTCAAAACCCTTTGCCAAAGATGAATTTCCTGGTGTGGCTGAACTGCAGGTGCTAAAGGCCTGGAGTGGACAGGCTGTCTAAAGAACTTCATGCCACTGTCTCAAAAACGAGCTAACTGCTGACAATAATTGATGAGCCAGAGCAATGCAGCAGAGGGTACACGTTAGAAATACCCACAATAACAACAAATGCCTATGTTTTTAAATGTGCAGCTATTTTCAGCAACAAAGGGCTTCCCAAATCAAACTGCTGACTCTTTTTTTTTCTTGTCATGAAAACACTTCAGCATACCTCTTAATAACCTGAAGTAAATCAAATGGGGGATCAGCTGGAGCTTAACAGCACTTGTCTCTCCTTGGATATCAGGTGTGTTTACTCTGTTTCTCTGGCAGATTAATTTATGATCTCTGGTGAGTTTGTGCCCCTAAAACCTGCAATATTAGGGTGATCCTGGAATTTTCCTGTACAGAGACTTACAAAGACAGATCCCTAATTTGTGCCATGGATCTGAATGTAACTGTACGTTACTTGTGAAAAAGAGGATAGGTTATATTTCTGATGAGGGGGCAGAGGGGGGAGGGAGGGAGACAGATCAAGAGAGATCAGTTCTCTTTTCTCTCTCTTCTTCTACTTTATTATGTAAATATGTATTACACCTAACAATTTACAATTTGGCAGTGGCACAAAAGAAAAAATTGAAATAAATAAAACACAGATTTTATATATAAAAGAACAAGTATAATCCTTTACGATGTTTGGAATCTATGGTCAAGTTATCACCACAAGAATCTTATTACACCAACAATTGATTAATTCTGCATCTTAATACTATGACAAATATATGGCTTGCAATAGTATTGTGGTGTGCAGATAAACCTCTAGGTAGATGGAAGGGGGGTGATAATCACACATTTCTAATGAAGTAGAAGCCTTTATTACTTATTACCTCCAAGAACAGTTACTATTTAACTCCCGAGTTATACACTCCAATAACTAGTTGTGATTTGGAATGTGCTTCGGCTGCTTAGGTAATGTGGATAAAAACAAAAAGACAATAAAAATCTGTCTAGGGAAGTATAGGGTAAAGCTGCTGCTGCAAAAAAAAACCCTGCTGGTTCCAAGAAAGGCTTTTACTTAGCATTGTGTTGCTTGCCCCACAAAAATGGGCATAAAGGTTTTACTTTTCAGGTTGGGGATGAATTGGCAGTAGGGTTCAAAAAAGGAATGTGGAGTGACAAACAAATTCCACCTCTCCCTTAGGGTAAAGCTAGCCAGCGTGCTGCACATAAATTAACTAATAAATTGCAATCTGCTAATCTTTCCGCTGCTTTCCCTCATGTTGTTGAATCTAAGCTGTATGTATGTTTGTGTGTGTGTAAACAAGCTTGACCAGAAGAACAATACAGCTAGAGCAGGAATGAAGTATAGCCATAGAGATTGTCCTTGCCTCTTACTTTGGCTGGACAGGCAGACCTCAAGGACAGACCTTCTGTCAATTTATGGAGCTTTAGTGCAGAGAAGTGTTGAAGAAATTACTAAAAGTCCTGTCCGATTTTATAAGTTTTCTGTAATTCTTTGCTGCCATCTAGTAGTCATCCAGAATTTTGCAGCCCAGATATAGTCCTAATCTTGATCCAACTTTGGGGTCATTATACTTGGCAAAGAGGCTGCTGTTCCAAGCCCTCTTCTTTGAGTGTAAATTCCATATGAATTTGTTGGGAACTGTGTAACATTAGGACATAATTTAGGACTTGAGTCTTAACCAATTATCCAATACAAAACCTTTTTTTTTTTTTGTTTAAGTGAATATATGAGACAAAGGATAATATACATGGAACCCTTTTCAATGTATTTTACTGTTCTCAGATCAGATAAAGATGAGTGGGACTTATACATATTTGATATGCAGATGTTCCTCAAGTCAAGGTGATTTCAAAAACTGAGTTGCACATAATCCCTAGTGCACTTAATAACTGGATTTACAATTATTTGTTAATTGTAAATAATAACATAATTATTGGGGTTTTTAAAATGCAGTAATGCACATAAAATCATTACTTCTCTCCCCCCCTTTCTTGATCTTTCTAAATTACATCCAATTCTATCTTCAAAGAAGGTTATTATATAAAGTTTAAATTCTATCTTTGAAGAATACCTTATTCCATTATCTGTCTGGCCCTCAAAACATACCATATACACACATATATATTAAGTAGTAATTTGGATTCTTTTCTTTAGGACTCAAGCTCTTAGCTGTGGGTTTTCCTACCATTTCCCACACCATGTATATTAAACAGCCAAGAACATTGGCCTGTTCCTTGAAAGTGACCTGAGACTTCACTCAAATAATTTTGTTGCATGGTGTCAAAATTGTTACATGTTAATACATCTCTCCTTCTCTTTTTCTATTTTAAACCTTCCTAAGGATCCCTGCAACAATTTTAAAAGCAATGTAACAAGGTACAAGAAGAAAAGGAAGATTAAAATTGTGGATAACTTGCACAGGACTTCCTTTTGTATTTTATCATTAGGATCCTATTTTTGTGAATTGATGATGTGTCTCAAAATTTTTCTGGGGAAAGGTATACAGAATTATGCCTTCTCTTTCTGTATCAGGCAAATCAGTCTCAGTAATGAGGAACCCAAGCAGGACTATGCTAACTAACAAATACAGAAATACTGTGCTCAATGCTAATCTTTTGAAATAAGAAACAGAGAAGAGGTCAACAATCCTATTCTTCATGTCAGCCGCATCAAAGCATCCAAGATACCTCTCCCCTCCCTCTCCCAATATCTTCTACCTAGCTGCTGATTCTTGCTCAGAAGACAAACCAATTACTTCCCAGAAATGGCATAATCCAAATGCACAGCGGAGCTAGTTTAGAGTCCTTAAAATGACATTCCAATTACCTCCTAGTCCCACTTCTCTGGCTTGGCTTCCTGGACAATTATCCTCGCAGTAATAATCTGAAGGCAAGACTTCTGCAGCATGGAAGGATCTTTCAGATCCACGCCTTCAAGGTCAGTCAGAGTCCTGGAAGACTAGTGATAGTTGCCTAAGCTTCTTGTGCTCTTTTTTTGATCAGTGACACGGTCCACTTGCAGAGCCCGTCCTGTGTCTCCAATAAGTAAAAGGCAAAGTTCTTCCTTCATAGGGAAGGAGTGCCATTCGTACAGCATTCCTTCCCTCTGAAGGAATCATAGATAGATAGATAGACTTAGGGAAGAAAAAGAAAGGCTGAAACATCGGCATCTTACCTCCTCAGCACTCTGAGATTTAAACCTTGCTTGGTTCTAACTGTAAACCAGGAGTCTCTTTTACCCCCTTGTCTTTTGTAGGATGCAGAAGGTGAATAATGAAATCCTTTTGCTAATAGTTTATGAGCCATGAGATTGGAAATGTATATGGATAGACCTGAGCACCGGTCTCAAGATCACTTGAGAGCCTCTTGGAGCCTGCCAGAAAGTAACCATTTAATATCCCCAGCTTGAGCAGAGGGGAGCAGGGCTTAATCGATGTATTTTTCCAGCTACTTTTTAGCTCCTTCCTACCGCAGATATACATATATTGTAAAGGTGGAGTGGATGGGCAGGTAAAACTCTTGTGTGTGCACGTGTATGCGCGCAGGCCCTTGGGTCTGCAGCATGTGTTTAATTAATCCCAACGGAGGTATGGGGGGGGGGGAGGGCAAAAGAAATGAGACCTATATGCTAGACACCTCACAGGCCGCCCTTTGCGATCACATGTGCACAGCAGCAAGCGACCCCTTCATTGTATATCATCGGGAGCCTGCTGAGCTGTCAGTTGGCCACTGATGTGTCCACGGTCTGGATGAAGACAACATCCAGGGCGTCACTGACAGGATGGCAGATGAAAGCCTGTCGGGATGCGAAGGGACAGTTCCGGAAGACGCAATAAGCGCGGGGAGGAGGGAGAAAGCGGCCCCGCGATTGGGCGTTCCAGAACTAACTCCTGTCCGGCGGGAGCGCCCAGCCGAAAGGGAAAAAGCCGCCGGAAGAGAGGCAGAAGGAAGCAGGGATGCGTTAGATGAGCGGAAGGGGGTTGGAGGGGGGGTGGGAGAGAGAAACAAATGGCCCCAGAAGAAAAGCAAAAGAAAGGAACGGGGTGCTCCAAGGGGAAATAAACTTTGAAAAGGAGCAAAGTTAATGAAAGCGAGAGGCGAGCGGAAGGGAAGCCCTCGAAGTCTTTTCTACTGACTTCGCACTTCTCCGGGAGGGGGACGCTTGGGTTTTCAGACCGACGGCTGAGGAAGCAGGGCAAACCCCGCTCTGAAGAGGGTGGACATTTCCCCGAGTCAGGGCGCACCTGACGCCAGGCGGCATCTCAATCACACACACACACACACACACACATCTCCCGCCACTCTCAAGCCAGACGGTCCTCAGGCTTTCTCAAGGCGCCCAGCCGGGTGAGAACTTCGCGGAGCCAACTGCCAAATTCGCAGAGACGCAGCCGGCCGCCCCCTGTCCCTCGACGGGTCAACACTTCCTCGGCGGGCAGCTCTGACAGCTCCTGCCGGAGGGTTTGAGAAAAGCTCTTGCCGAGCTCCAGGGCTCCGGAGTGTATCCTGAGCAGCCGGGGCCATCAATGGTCCCCCGAATCCATAGGCCTTGGCGACAAGGGAAGGTCCCCCCACCCCCAAGTGTTCGTCCTGAAGCCAATGAAGGGGCGAGGAAATGTCTCCTCCAGCCCGGTCAATGACATCGTTCTATCCTCCTGCAATTCTGGAGAAAAGCGTTAGATTCCCGCGCAAACTTATTGACCGCCCTTGACATTAGCGCGTCTTGTTGCCTTTTGATGACGTGAGTGTCGGCCTCCTCCTCACGTTTAGTCGACGCCGAAGAGCCCTTTTTTTTCTCAGTAACGATCTGGGCGTTATTGGAGCAAAAAAGGGCAGAGGAATAGGGCTCAAAGCTCCGCTTATCGCATCCATTTTACTAGGGCAAAGTTTTTTTTTTTTAAGGAAACGGTAAAACAATTCTGGACTTTACAATAATTTGTCCAGCCTGAATCTGAAGGGCTACCGTAGGTGTAAAGGAGGCGGATTTCAAAATCTCATCCGCACCAGAGGTGCGTCGCTGCATATACGCGATCTGCCTCTTCTACTACAACCGTCCCTTTTTCACAGACACACACACCGTCCAATTAATAACTTTTTTTTTTAATAGAGTGCGACCGCTGGTAACCCTAGCCAGGTCTCAGTAGCCCAGGCAAGCCAATTCCAAGCATATGTGGGCAATTAAGAATCCACCAGCGCCCTAACAACACACAGTAAACATAAGCACAATTACCGCCGAACTAAATCCTTTTGCTACAGTACACCCACACTTTTCAGCCCTGGCAACTGCCTGGGGGGGTTAATCTTCCGAAGAGAAAGGGGGGCTCCCTGCGCAAAATTACGCCTTCTCTTCTCATTTGTTAGCTGATTCCATCAAAAAGTTCGCTATTTATAGGCTACACACATGAACCTGGAGTAATGCAAACCCTCCCGTGTTTGTTCCTTTTTGCAAAGTGACCGGTGCCGCAGCTTTTGATTGCCGTTCGGGCAGCCGGAGCGGCGGAGAGGACGAGCTGCAATCAAAGCAAGCTGGGAACAGATCTCCAGCTGCAGGGAGTCCGGGCAACGCGCTCGCCGCACAACCTTGTGAGTACCATACCGCGATCCCCCAACACCCCCCTCCCTCTCCCAGCACAATTTGTAGATTCGTTTAGGAAAACCCATTGTGAAAGAGAAGGAGGGGAGCCTAAAAAAAAAAAAGACGACGAAAGAGACCGCGAACTCGAGGAAGAAAGACTTCGAGCAGGAGAACAGGGCTGAGAATGAGCCCCGCCGTTCTCGCGGGGTGCCCCTCAGATCCAATTATCTGAAGAGTGGCGTTTAGCGATTCTCCCTAAAGTCAGGCAGGGTTGGATTGATCCGTCTGGGAATCAAAGCTGAAGGGAAAGGATCTTTGCGATTCCCAAACAAAAGTGATTGGTGGACAGCTGCTTCCCAATACGGCCGAGAAGCAGATAGAAAAGCACCCTAAAGAAGAGGAGTCTACTTTATTTTATTTTTTTAATGTAGACAGAGGGCCCTAGAGAGCCCGTAGAAGATTGAAAATGTTACTTACTGCCCCCCCCCCTCCCCAATGGATTGGCAGTTGTTATAAATTTGTAAGAATTCCTTCTTGGACATTCCTTAAACTGCCTCACCACATATTAATCAGATTCCCACTTGGGTCGGGCTAAAATACCGGTTTGCGCGTGGGAAAGACCGGGGGGATGCAAATCTTGCAGGGGCCGGAAATGCGGCTTTGGTCAAGGCGGGCGTGGGATAGCAACCAACTGCCAGGCAGAGATCTCTGGACTGTGGAAGGAGGGAAGGAAGAAGGAAGGAAGGAAGGGAGGGAGGAGGAGGAGGGAAGGGAGGGAGGGAGAAGGGAGGACGACGGACGGAAGGAGGAAGGAGGAAGGAGGGAAGGAAGGAAGGAAGAAGGAAGGATAGGGAGGTGGAGGGAAGGAGGGAGGGAGGGACGGGATGGCTTTTTGCTAGCGAAGGATTCGGCTTGCAGCCCACTGAGCTGAGCCTGGCCTAAAACCCACCCACTGCAGCGGCAGGGTGCCCTGGATCCCAGCCCTGTCCTTAAGAGCGGAGGAGCGGCAGGGGCGCCCCGTGTGCTGCTCTGCCTGCCCTTGCAGGGTCTGGGCAGCGAGAGGATGGGGCTTGCTTGGGCTGGAGGTCCGGGCACCAGCTCCCGAGATGGGCATTCCGCGCGGGAGGAGGGTCTCCGTGCCTTAGGCGCATAGCGGAGGGGCCAGCGCAGTCCCAGAAAATAGCAGCAGCAGCAGCAGCAACTTGCTGGGGCTCCGCTCGAACTTTGCTGCCTCCAGTGGAAAAGTGACTTCGATCCAAGGCCATTTATAGGCGACGGAAAAGCCTCCTTTTCCGTGAGCGGCGGCCGAGCGAGCAGGCAGCCTGTCCCCGCGGCTCCCTGCGAGCCCTCGCCTGTCCTCTCTCGGGTGGGGAGGACGCGAAGCCGGGGCGTTTGCTGACCCGGTAGAATGGCGAGGCCGGGCTTCTGGCAAAACTTTATTTCGCTAATCTTTGGGTCGCTCTTATTAAGATTATAACGCAAAGAACCCGATGGATCACGGGACAGAAATGAGATTTTTTTTTTTAAAGGGGGTGGTTATTGACACCACTTTCCCCCATATAATTGAACCGCTAGCGATAATAACCCATTTTTGAGAGTTGTCTAGAAATAGTGCTGTATGATCCATATTTTCATTTTTTCCTCACTTTTTCATAAGGTTTTTAAAGTAAGAAGGCGTAATATTAGCAATTCATTCAGTACCTTGGGGGCAGATGCTCTCTCTTGAAACAAAGAGTCCTTCAACTTCACTTCCAATCTCTCCACGCTGCTTATTTTTTCTTTTCACACTTTTTCTTCCATCATCAAAATTTAAAGATTAGTGTAAAAGAGTCATAGTGTCAAAAGAGAAATAGAGTCACAAACCTGGGAGATGGATGGGATCTTATATAATATTTGAAAAGGGGAGGCAAACCATAAATCATTTTACATCATTACAATTTAACTGTAGAAAATTAACAGTTTTAATTGTTTGGCCCCAATGAAATATTTTTTCATTTACAATACAGTTGCAGTAGGGCTCAGACAACTGAAATTATTTACAGTCAGATCTTTGTTCTATATTCTGCTGCTTAATTTGAGAAGCTACTTTATTGGGTCAAAGATTAAAAATTAAACTTGGCTTTGAAATTAGTTTGACATATCTGAAAAGTTTTGCCTTTACTGTAAAGCTGTTTTGGGAAAGTACATGGTTATTTCCTAACTAACGGAAACATGTAAAGAAATCAGTTTCGTGTTTTTATGCTCTAATTTTGAAAAGAATTTATATATCCAGACATTTCTGTGTGGGAAGAGATTTTACAAAATATGAAACCCTCATTTTCCTAGTTGTATAACATCATAGTTTCTTCCAATGGTAAAGCAGTTTATAGCCTATACACAGAAAAATTTCTAAAGTTGTGAATAGCAGACATAGTTTCTATATGTAAATTAGGAGGATAAAAAAGTTTTTTTTTTAAAAAAAAAATCATTACCAAGCATAGATTGTTTGAAGTAAAGGGAAGTAGAAGAGAGTGATAGGAAATACTTTCATTATACAATATCCTACATTTTCTTTCTTAATGGATGATACTAAGAATTGCAAAAGGCCTAAAAAATCTTACAGTCTGTTTACATAGATTTCAAGTTAATAGTTTATGGGAAGAGTACAACTAATCATTACATTACAAAGTATTTGTTATCAAGAGTTAATTTCCTGTAGGATGTTTCTTTGCCTTGTTCTTTACTGTTAGTTATAAATTTATTGGAATGATTATCATGGTAAACATAATGAAACTGGAATATTCTATATGCCTTCCCAGAAAACTCTCCTTATGGTTCAGAACATTTAGGATAATTTTATTTTGTAATATAAGAGGTTTATAACTGTATAATTGCAGGTTCTAGTAAGTATGATTTCTCATTATTTACTTAGTCAATATTTTATTATGTATGTATTATTTCAATGTATGTATGTGACCCCCCACTTTTTTCATATTCATGACTCTGGACCACTAACAACGGTTAAAACATCATGAAATTAGACATAACTGTAGAAATAATGCATATCTATATACCTTTGTATGTGTGTATGCATTTGTATACACACAGACACAGACACAGACACAGACACAGACACAGACACAGACACAAACACAAACACACACACACACACACACACACACACACACACACACACAGTATATAACTGGCAACTGAATTATCTGATTACTTTCAGCCGAACAATTTCTCCTGAAAAGTACTATTTGAGGAGTTAATCAGATAATAAAATGATGGTCCAATTTGGTATTCATCAAAAATACATGTTTTAAATTGCATCAGTTAACTGATAAAGATATAGGAGTATAAGCCAATCAGTATTTATTTCTGAAATGTAGGAACTTGTTCTCCCTTAAAATTTTCAAACAGAACAACTTTTAATACTGTTAGTTGTAGTGGACTGCCTCTTTCAGCATGTGTGCATATCTGTATGTGGAATTAATCCCTGACAATTAGATTCAATTTGATCCAGATAATAGCCTCTAATTCCACCAAACCTTCCAGTTTTCCTTCCTTAAGATTCTCCACATACTGGTCCAATCTTCACATGTAGCCCATTGTTTTCCCTTTAGCCCTTCCTCAAATCACTCTTTCTATCTAGAGCTGTCTAGTATCATTTATCTATTTCAATATTTCCATGCTTTCTCCTTTCCAAGAGAAGCTGCCTTCCTCAGTCTCTTATCTGTTAAAACACTGAGTTAAGCTATTCATCCTATTTGATCATTAGTTAATCAGACTGACAGTAGCTTTCTACCACTCTCGAAGTGGTCTTTCCACTCATAATAAATCTTGTCCATTTGAGCATCCCACTTTTCACCTCGCTTTTTTTCATCCTAGTCTTTCCCCACTTTTCTCTTTTCACAGATCAACCAATTGTTGATCAATTAGTTACATGTTGCATGGCAAAATACTTTTAAAAGTATCTTTTTCAATTTCTGATAAAAATAAATATCTTTAGAAATGTTATTAATGGGCCTCATATACTATTTGTAAATATCAGCCTTTATACAGTTTATATATTTTAGGGCTATGTTCTCTTGGCACAGTACAGGGGATTAAAATGTAGGTTTCATGAGCAAAGCGCTTTATACATTTTTAATTTGAACAAAACAGATTAATTGGGGAAAAGGCCATTTCTTGTAAGTGTATCAGTCAAAATGTTTATACATTTCCCAGGTGTTATGAGACAATATGCACTTAATCTGAATCTTGTAAACAATAAAAAATGGGCAGAGAAACAACTTCACTGAAATTGTAAATAAAGAGTACAAGGATGCTTCATAGAGATTAAGTTTGGTCCTGGATGAAGGAAAAGGTGAACACCAAAGGTGAGAAGAAGCAGGCACATTGTTTCATTGTGAAGATTTAAACACAGCTTTAGTTAAGGAACAGAAATCTGTTCATTTGGAATTGGTGGCATTTTCTTCAGAGTTATAAATTGTCTTTTAGTTTACTGTTGCAGTCTCTTGACTTTGTAACTATAGCTAGTTCAGCGAATATTTAGATTAGAATAAACAGAATTTTCAGTGAAAGAAAGGGTCTGATGTCTTTCTGGTGCACTGCTCACTTTTTCAGTAATGTCAAAATATGTGCTAGATAACTTAGAAATGTCAGTATTGTTACCAACCTCACTTTCCCTGGTCTTCAAAATTATGCATGTACTTTTCATACAAAAACATATGTGTGAACCAATATACTATATAGTACTATTAAACAAATAGAGAAGAAAGCAGTCAAGGAGAACTATAAAAGCAAAAGTTAGAATTTTACAATAATTTTACATTTTAACTAAATACATATTTTACCAATTTCAACTCTTATATACAAGAGGGTCAGGACATATATTATTCGGTGATAGTGCCATACAGGCAGAAGTTTCAATCTGAATCAGAGAGAAAAGGGAGATATAAATAGAAATACAGTGGAAAAAGGAACACATTAGAACATCTCTTACAAACTTTTATCTTGCTTGCATGTTCATTTTAGCAGGTACAGAAAAAGTCCATTCTAGTCTTGTTTTCATTAAAAATTCCATATATAAACTATTTAAAAAGCGGTTTATCTCTCTTATTCCCAACCCCACACACTTTTGCTATTTATATTAAACTCTTAGTAAGTGTTGTCCGTATTTCAAATTACGTTCAGGTTGTAATCCTATTTAGAAACTTCAAGTAATTGTACAGAACTAGAACTTTGAAATAATTTAATTTGATAATTGGAATAAAAAAACCTCAAGTGTTTTTCCTTCCTTCCTTCCTTCCTTCCTTCCTTCCTCCTCCTTCCTTCCTTCCTTCCTTCCTTCGTACTTTATTGTAAAAATTCTGGTAAACTACTTAGAAGCAGAAATGTGGCAAGGCCGTAATCGAATAAGTAAAATATACTGCTTAGGGATTTTAAAATATTTTAATCGATGACATCAATCAAAGCAGAGTAATAACATCAGTAATTCAGCACAAAAGTACAGGATCTCTTTCACTTGAGAACTCTGAAATTATCTAAGGCAGAAAATAAAAATGAAGCAACCCCAAAAAACTTAAGAGAAGATAAAAATACAGAAACATAGATCTATAAAACTTTTTAAAAGTGCAAAAGATAAGAGAGAGAGGGAGGAAGGTAAAGGAAAGATGAGAAAAGCGGAACACAAGAAAGAAAAAGGATTCCTTTTTAGAATGAACAAAATTGATATTGAAAACTAAAAGGCGAGGAGAGCACCCTGAAAGACTTTTCCACTGACTTTGCACTACTGGACTAGGTGATTGGGGTCTCAGGCCAACTGCTGATGAAACTCTATAAACCCTGTTCTGTTTCAGTGAACATTTCCAAGAGAATCAGGGCCACCTGGTACCAGGCAGCATTCCAGTCATATATACCTCCTGCTGCTACAAAGCCAGTCTCCAGCATTTCTCAGCTGGATCAGAGTCTCACCAAGTGAAATGGCAAATTCACAGAGATGCCAAATTCACAGAGATGCCAAATTCACAGAGAATTTGGCATCTGGCTGTTACCTTTTTCTGATGGGTCAGCACTTCCTTGCCTGGCATCTCTGACAGCTTCCTGCCCAAGGGAGAAGGAAATCCTTTGCAGAGCTTGATCCTTGGTAGTGCTACCCTCAGAACCAAACTCTCAACTTCTAAAAATGCAGTTTAGATCCCTAAATTCCAGAACCTTAGAATCAACAACCTCCCCCTCCACCCCGCCCCAAATGAATGAAAAGGGCAGGAAGTATACAGTTAGAATCACACTCAAGCTAGCATCAACTTCCTATCTGGCTAATAATAGGTGCATAACAGTATGTTATATATTTATGCTAGGCCAGAATTATAATAGCCATATGAGGTATAGAACATAGAATAGTAGAGTTGGAAGGTATCTTAGAGGTCTTCTAGTCCAACTTTCGGCTCAATCAGGAAACTGTATACGATTTCAGACAAATAGTGTAGTCTATGCTTGAAAGTCTCCAGTGATGGAGCCCCACAGCTTCTGAAAGCACGCTATTCCATTGATTGAAAATTCCTTCTTAATTCTAGGTTCCTTTTCTCCTTGTTTCTTGTCTTGCCTTTTGGTGAATTGGAAAATAGTTTGACCCCCTCATCTTTATAGGAGCCCCTCAAATATTGTTTCAATCCCATTTTACAGATTGGAAGACCACATAGTGAATTCAATTAAATCAATATAAAATTTGAATGCATCCCTTCAGGGGTTTAAGTGACAATCACCAGCACCACCATCCTGCCGCCCAGAAACAGTCTTTCAAATTCTACTCTGATTCTCCTTCTCCCTTTAGATTTTGGGTCTATTGATACATTTTAGTGTCATATTTTCCCAGATTCAACAAGAATAACCAGAATACTACAGCATAGTAAAAAGTTTGTTCCACTAGCCACTGTCCCTCTAACCCTTCCCCCACTGTCAGAAGGGCATCAGATCTATTTTGATCCTTCTGTTATTACTTCTTCTGGGATAAACCAGGGCTACCCCCAATTATTCTTGGCTTCCTAATCCAATTTTATTTTTAGAGGTGTTGGGTGAGAAAAAAAAATGTTTTAATAAATATAGCCAAGCTAGAAGTAGACTTGGTTATAAGCACAGTCATAAATCACAATAGTTCAACCAGATGCCAGAAGCACATCTGGGGACTTTCTAGGTCTTCCTCTCTAGGGGCCAAGAGAGAACAGACAAAGGTTATAGAAGGGAAGGTTACAAGGTAAAGAGGCAATAGCTGCAAAGATATGAAGGAATGCTTTGGTCTCTCTAATATTTTGGGCTCTCTAATAATCTGTTGACACAAGAACCACAGTTGATAAATTCAGGGGACACCCACAAAACCCAATATATCTTCACTAAATTCCCCCTGTTTTCCTGTCCTTAGTTCAGATAGATTAAAGAACAATAGTGTCCTTTGTATGTTTTTAAAAGCTGTGCTCTCTAATGATCTGTAGACATGAGAACAACAGTTGGCAAAATCTGGGAGCACCCCCAAACCCCAAAATTACTTCACTGAATTTCCTTAATCCTTAGTTCAGCTAGGTTAAATAACAACTCTATTTGTGTGTGTGTGTGTATGTGTGTGTGTGTCAAGCATTACTTTACATTCTCTTCTTGATGCTTCCCACAATTTAAGCTCCATTCCCAACTTCATTCAGACTCTGCATAGACCTTTTCCACTCTTTTATTGAAAACCTTTGCACTAAAAAGTTATGGTCATCTTCAGGAACACAGAATCGAAGAGAAAATTTGTTGCCTATATTTTGTTGGGGGGGGGGAACCTCAGATACACTCAAGAAAATGGGGTTTTTTCACCGCAAAATAATTCCTTCTCTCTCCTTTGCAGTGCAAAAATATAGTTTGTTAGAACCTTGAGTATAACCAATCTTCCCATATTTCTTCCCCTTCTCAAAGTAACCGGGAGTGCAGCTTTATCACCTCTTTGCTGCGGAAACAGCTCGGAGGAGCCACGACCCCCCTCCCCATCAAGGCTAGAGCTGCAGAGGTTCCGGGCCGAGGCAAGTTGCTCATCCCACAGTCATGTGAGTACCGCTCCGCGATCTACCGCGGGATCTTGCGCTGACTTGCAGCTCGCGCTCCTACTTGACTTCAGCCCTACTTCTTTGCGGTGCCCTCGGCGACGTTTACAAACAGCGCGGCTACTGGCTTTGATCTAGTCGAAAGCAATGTGGCCGAGAGCAGAGCAGGGAGAATGGAGGCGAATGGAGAGGACGAACAGAAAGTTTGCGATGCGAAATGCTTTATCCAGAATCCACATCGACTTAGAATTAGCCCGAGATTGTTGCATACTTGCAACAAAGTTTTCAGTTTCAAAGAGCACAGCTTTTCACTTCTTAAAACCGAACGTCACGGAGCTGGGGGAAAAAACCCCACATCAGAGTCTTTGAAGAAAGCTGCCCAGGGATGGGAGGTACAAGGCAGGCAAACATTTCAGCTAAGGAACCTGATCGATTTCTTTAAAAAGGAAGAAGGGGCATTAAAGTGCCTCTTTCCGGGCAAAGGGCATGAAGATGCTCTCTGTCGGTCCTACTCCTCGTGCACATTGCCGGTTTGCGCGTGGGAAAGACCGGAGGGGATGCAAATCTTGCAGGGGCCGGGAAATGCGGCTTTGGTCAAGGCGGGCGTGGGATAGCAACCAACTGCCAGGCAGAGATCTCTGGACTGTGGAAGGAGGAAGGAAGGAAGGAAGGAAGGAAGGAAGGAGGGAGGGAGGGAGGGAGGGAAGGAAGGAGGGAGGGAGGCAAGGGAGGGACGGACGGACGGAAGGACGGAAGGAAGGAAGGAAGGAGGGAAGGAAGGAAGGAAGGAAGGAAGGAAGGAAGGAAGGGAGGGAGGGAGGGAGGGAAGGAGGGAGGGAGGGACGGGGATGGCTTTTTGCTAGCGAAGGATTCGGGCTTGCAGCCCACTGAGCTGAGCCTGGCCTAAAACCCACCCACTGCAGCGGCAGGGTGCCCTGGATCCCAGCCCTGTCCTTAAGAGCGGAGGAGCGGCAGGGGCGCCCCGTGTGCTGCTCTGCCTGCCCTTGCAGGGTCTGGGCAGCGAGAGGATGGGGCTTGCTTGGGCTGGAGGTCCGGGCACCAGCTCCCGAGATGGGCATTCCGCGCGGGAGGAGGGTCTCCGTGCCTTAGGCGCATAGCGGAGGGGCCAGCGCAGTCCCAGAAAATAGCAGCAGCAGCAGCAGCAACTTGCTGGGGCTCCGCTCGAACTTTGCTGCCTCCAGTGGAAAAAGTGACTTCGATCCAAGGCCATTTATAGGCGACGGAAAAACCTCCTTTTCCGTGAGCGGCGGCCGAGCGAGCAGGCAGCCTGTCCCCGCGGCCCCCTGCGAGCCCTCGCCTGTCCTCTCTCGGGTGGGGAGGACGCGAAGCCGGGGCGTTTGCTGACCCGGTAGAATGGCGAGGCCGGGCTTCTGGCAAAACTTTATTTTGCTAATCTTTGGGGTCGCTCTTATTAAGATTATAACGCAAAGAACGCAAAGAATGGATCACGGGGCAGAAATGGGGAGATCTTATTTTAGGACTCATTATGAAATGAAATAGTTCCCCGCCCAATACTTTTTTCTTAGCGATGCACTGACGTTAAATAGGGTAACGGCATTTGGTAAGATTGGTAATAATGTCTTTCCTGCGGTATAAAGATATAGCTGTTAGGGCCATCCATTATAAACTTTCAGTTTTACATTTTAGTAGGATGGTAAAACAAGGTGGATTTGCGAGTAGCCTTTTCTCTAAACTGAAGGAGACAGGATGGAAAATAAGCATGTCACTTGAAATATATAGAATAGTAAATAGCATTCTGTGTTTTGTCAATAAAAACCTGAAGGTTACAATAAACAAGGAAAATTAATAAAGCAAATTGCATAGTTTCTTCCCCCCAAAAAATAGCTTAGGGTACACAGGCAAGGAACAAGACTTTGAAGTCATGTCCCCACTTGCACCTAAACATGGCACAAACATGCCCTGGCAAAGCCTGTTTTCTGCTTTGACCCAGTGAGTTTGCTGTTATCTCATCTGCAGCCAATGGTCTAAATTGTCCTTAGCTGGACTGGTGTTAAAATAATATTTTCTCCTTTATTCCTACAGCGTACAAGGGCAGCCTCAAGGTGTATAAGATCTGTTAGGCTTTGTCACCTTGGAAGAAAGTCAGGTGACTGGCAGTAACTGTAAATAGAAGCAGGATAGTGATCAGAAGTGGGAACAGCAAATTTCATGCCAGTACATTTTTCTGCCAGCTGAAGAATAGGTGGATAGCAGTATAATTCAGCAGAGGAAAAGGCCTTTAGATTCCATTTGGAAGAATTTTTTTCCCAACCCTCCATCCTAAAGATTAATTAAAAATTGCCCCTCAATTCTTAATTTAGCAATAGAAAGTCAATGTGCTTCAATATTTGTTCAAATTGTAGTAACTTTTGTTCTAAGTGTTGTGTGCTGCTGAAATCTAATACTATTTCAGATTTGCCCAAACACGAGTGAAGTGTAAGTCCAGAGTTGTTGCAGGCAAATATTATGGGGTAGGTGACATGTAGCCATTAAGCCTCCATCCTTTTGTCAGCTTCCAAAACAAAGTCACAAGAATGGCTTATTTTGATAAATGAAACTCTGAAATGTTTTCAGTATACATCTTCTGTGCTTTTTAAATAAGCAAATATACTTTTTTTACTTTTAACTATCTTTGCAAACTTTTGAGCTATTTCTGGTTTCTTCTCGATTTAATGTTAATGACTTACAGACAAATGTGTTTTCTCTTTATTGAAATATGTTGCCATGTGACGTTGTACAATAGGAAAGTATTAATGGAAGGTTTATATATTCATTGCTTGCTGACATGTACAACCAGCTCAACCAACCTCAATCTTGTCATTACATGCAATCCTGTTATTGGGGGCAATTTTACTGTACCTACATTGTGTGATGAGCAGAACTTTAATTTGTAATAAAGTGTAAAGAACCAAAGAAAGAACCTTGGGGAACATATGCAGAGACCTTTAGCAAAATATGAATTAAGCCTGGGAAGGGAAGAAGGCATTAGAAAGAAATTTAAAATGATTCTACCTTGACTCTCTTTGATATAAAAAGGAGCAAATGAGAAAGGCTGCCAGGCTTTCAAGTTGCTGTTATTCTGGCGTCCATCAATAGATTTCCTATATTTCTTGTGGCATCTGTTTCCTGAACTGGCCTTCCTGAAAGGGATGACTGTAATCTCTCTACATATCTTCTCCAGAGTCATCTCTGTGATTCCCTACATAAGGTTACCTCCAATTCAAAATCTTTCACTTTTCAATTGTTAGTTCTTATTTTACATACATGTTTGAAATACTCTTTGCCAATTCTTCTCCATTTCCTCCATCCCTTTTGATCTACTTTCTAAAACTTTGATTTCCCTGCAGAAATTTATCAGTCTTCTTGGAAGCCTTGTCCTTTCTAATCCCCCCCTCCCCACTGCTTCTCCTCTTCCTCCATCCATGAACTCTTTTTCTTATTCCATTTTAAAATCAGTTTCTAAAAAGCCATCCTCTTTCCAACCACTTAAAATTTCCTCTCCCAAGACAAATAGTAGTTTCAAAGGGTGATTTTCATTTGTGCATTTCAACACCTTTAACACTTGCATCAGAAGAACATAATCACAGTAATTCTATCAACAATCCATTTGTACATGTTTGTAAACATTTTAGTTTGATCATTCTGAATGTATGGGGTTTGGAATATTGGGCTTTTCAGACATTTAAAATTACAGATTGATACAGCACTATGCCCTCTCACATATGCAACTATAACTTTGTATCATTATTAAGATATCAAGCTAGGTCTGTTGGATGTTGTAAGATGTGTGGTGATACATATATAATCCAACAGGTTCAAATGAAGAGACACGGGTAAAGAGATATTTTGTAGAATTATCATAAGGTATTCTTCATTTAATCAGGAAAAATTATTCAGGATATATTAATACTTAGAAGAAATAAGTTCAAAGGTCTCTCATTTGTCCAGCTGTTATTTTTGCATTTGTGTAACTATATTTTGAGGGGTGGTTTACAAAATTTTATTTAGAACCTATTGATGGCTCACCATAAGGTATACAGAGCACTTTCTTGTGATTTTTTTTTCAAAAGAACTCTTTAAAAAAAAATCAGTCATAAGGATCAACTGGAATGTAAAACAAGCCTCCTCATTCCTTATTTTATGTCCTGAGGCACAAAGTAAGACGAATGTGCTCCCTTTCTCACCCCCCTCAAAAAATCAAAACAACCCCACCCCCACCCCACTCCCGCAAAACCAAGGGAATTATTTTAGAAATTTCTATAGCAAGAAATGTCATAAAGAAGCATACTTTTTGCAGTTTAATCTGCCTTTATCAACTCAACAGTCAAGAAGTGAGCACAGGAATGGTTTCAATCAAATATCACAAATGAGCAGTATATAAATTGTTCTCTGATATTTGAGGCATTTTACAATCACACACACTCCTTTTATATTTGGCAATCTGCCTTCAAAGCCCAACAAATGAACAAAATAACATTCCCCTTTATTTTGGCAATCCGAAATCTCAAGGTCGCATTTTAACCCATGAATACTTAATGCTTGCAATTTTTATAAATTTTCCAAATTTTGTAAATGAGTCCATCATATAATTTTGGTTTTTTCCCCCTTATTTCTACATATTGTCAAATCAACATTCAGACCCAGTACATGTCGCTCCAAATGACCAATGTGTTTTTTAAAGGTTTTTTATGTCTTTAAAGATAGCAAATAGGACTGCATATGTTAATATGGCTAAAAGAGCATAGATAGATATAGTAAAAAAGATCCTTTAAATTAAAAGAAAAAAGTTTAAAGGGAGGTATTCTGGAGGCACTGGGATTTTTCATGCAATGATTAAATAATTTCCAGTATAAAAATCTAGTATTAGTGGAAAATTTTCTGTTACTGAATTGCTGAAGAACATGTAATGAATTACTGCAAAACCTTCTTGAGAGGACAAGTGGGTATTTTGAAGAATAGGAACCTCAAAGTGTACCATTACT